TGGAGAAAAAAAATTCCATGAAACCCCCCAAAAAATCCATAAAATCTCAAAAAAACCATAAAACTCCATTCCAGGAGGATTCCCCCATTCCGAGGGGAACACGGGGATCCCTGTGCGGGATTTGGGGTTTCGGGTGCGGGATTTAGGGGTGGCTGTGGGGTGAGGTTGTGGGGTCTTCCCAATCCCCACCCTCAGGTCTCCCAATCCCCATTCCTGTTCCCAATTCCTCATTCCCGATTCCAATTCCCAACTCCGATCCCGATTCCCAATCCCAATTCCTGACTCCGATTCCTGACCCCAATTTCCGATCCCGATTCCCCATTCCCAATCCCAATTCCCGATCCCCATGCCTGATCCCGACCCTGATCCCAATCCCCATTCCCAATCCTAATTCCCGATCCCCATTCCCAACCCTGACCCCAATCCCGATCCATTCCCAATCCCAATTCCCAATCCCAATAACCAATTCCCGATCCCCATTCCCAATCCCAATCCATTCCCAATCCCCATTCCCGATCCCAGTCCCAACGCCGAACTTGACCTCGATCCCAATTCCCGATCCCCAATCCCAATTCCCAATCCCAATTCCCAATCCCGATGCATTCCCAATCCCAATTCCTGATCCCCATTCCCATTCCTGATCCATTCCCAATCCCAACACCGACCCTGACCCTGATCCCAATTCCTGATCCCGATCCCAATTCCCAATCCCAATTCCTGATCCATTCCCAATCCCAATGCCAACCCTGACCCTGATCCCAATTCCCGATCCCAATCCATTCCCAATCCCAATTCCCGATCCCTATCCGTTCCCAATCCAAACACCGACCCTGATCCCAATCCCAATTCCTGATTCCGATCCATTCCCAATCCCCATTCCCGATCCCCATTTCCAATCCCAATTCCCAATCCCCATTCCCAATCCCGATCCACTCCCAATCCCAACGCCGACCCCGCCGTGTCCCGCAGCCCACGCGCCTGGACCGGGGCTGGTTCGTGTTCCCGTTCGGGAAGAACCCGTGGTGGGTGTACCTGGCCAGCGCCCTGCCCGCCCTGCTCGTCACCATCCTCATCTTCATGGACCAGCAGATCACCGCCGTCATCGTCAACAGGAAGGAGCACAAACTGCGGGTGAGCCGGGGACA